TCTCTACTAAAAATACAAAAAACTTAGCCAGGCGTGGTGGCACACACCTGTGGTCCCAGCTACTCAGGAGGCTGAGGCGAAAGAATCACTTGAACTTAGAAGGCAGAGGTTGCAGTGGGCCAAGACTGAGCCACTGCACTCCAGCCTGGTGACTGAGCAAGACTCCAGCTCAAAAAAAAAAAAAAAGTTCAGAAACAACTCCTGCATATATAGAACCTTAATTTTTGACAAAGTTGGCACTGCAGATCAGTGGGGAACATGTGGAGTATTAAGCAGATGAGCTGGAACTACTAACTAAATCTAGAAAAAAAATTAGATCTCTTCTTCATATCTACCTAAAAATCTATTCCAGGATGGCTTAAAGACTTTACATAACAACAGAACTATAAACATTTTTTTACAAGACCATATAACAAAATAGCTTTCTGATCTCAGAGTAAGAACGGATTTGAGATACAAAACCAAAAAGCAATGACTGATAAAACTACGTTAAAACTTTCTGATCATACAGAAACTCCCAAAAGACACTAAAAAGACAAGAAACTGAGAGAAGATATCTGCAACACATAAAACTATGAAGGGGTAACTGTTCAGGATATATTAAGAACTATAAATCAGAAAGCAGTGACTTAATGGTAAGCAAGCAAGACATGGACAGGCATTCCATAAACACAGAAATACAAATGACTCAAATAGAAAAAATAACGTTTACCCCATATGAAGTTAGGAAATGCTAATTAAAGCCATAGTGAGGGATAATTTCATACCTACTAGGATTGGGAAAACTTAATCTGACATTATCAAGTGTTAACAAGGATGTGGGGTAATGGGAATCCTCATGCACTGCTAGTGACAAGCGTCAACTGTTATAAACAACTTGGAAAAACTATTTTTTATTTTATTTTTATTTTTTTGAGATGGAGTCTCATTCTGTTGTCAGGCTGGAGTGCAGTGGCACAACCTCAGCTCAATGCAACCTCTGTCTCCCAAGTTCAAGTGATTCGCCTGCCTCAGCCTCCCAAGTAGCTGGGATTATAGGCATGCACCACCACGCCCAGCTAATTTTTGTATTTTTAGTAGAGACGGGATTTCACCATGTTGGCCAGGATGGTCTCAATCTCTTAACCTCGTGGTCTGCCTGCCTCGGCCTCCCAAAGTGCTGGGATTACAGGCATGAGCCACTGCGCCTGGCCAATTTTTGTATTTTTAGTAGACATGGGGTTTTATCATCCTGGCCAGACTGGTCTCAAACTCCTGACTTCATGTGATCCGCCCACCTCAGCCTCCCAAATTGTGGGGATGACAGGTGTGACCCACTGTGCCAGGCCAATGATCCACCAATTCTGTTCACTAGATTATGTACTCTACAAAAATTTTGCCTGTGTGTAACAAGACATGGGTACAAGAATGTTGACAGGATTTTTTGTAATCATGGAAAATCCAGAAACATGTCATCAATAGTAGAATGGATAAACTGAGCTATAAACATTGAAAGGAATGCTATTAATTTGTTTAAAAAATGAACAAAACAGCACTTTGGGAGGCTGAGGCAGGCAGATCCCGAGGTCAATAAATCAAGATAATCTTGGCCAACATGGTGAGACCCCGTCTCTACTTAAAATACAAAACTTAGCTGGGAGTGGTGGTACACACCTGTAGTCCCAGCTACTTGGGAGGATGAGGCAGGAGACTCACCTCAACCTGGGAGGTGAAGGTTGCAGTGAGCCGAGATCACGTCACTGCACTCCAGCCTGGTGACAGACTGAGACTCTGCCTCAAGAAAACAACAAACAAACAAACAAAAATGAATGAAATATAATGAGATGAATCAAGGTGGACAAGTCTCAAACGTTTTGATGAAAAGTCACAAAAGAATATGTACATCTGGGTTCTGGTTATATAAAGTTTAAAAGATTGAAAACCTAAAACATTTGTTTAGTGATGCATATAGGAGATTATAATTATCAAAATCAGGAAAGTGGCTATATCTTTGGTGGCAAAACAGGAAACAGGATCAAGTAGGGCCACACAGGTCTGCTTAGGTTCTGGTGATGCTGCTTCTTATCATGGGGAATGTGTCTATGCTATGGCTACTCATTTTGTTTTTATTTAAATAACACATTTTATACTCTTTCACAATAACATTTTATAATAATCTTCAAAAATTCATTTTAACATCTAGTTTTAATCATTTTTAGTGTGATCAGCACATTGACCCTTACACCACACTGTGGAAGTCACCCTTTTGAATCCCCATCTTCATGTCCTATTAGATTTCCCACTTTGAGTAAAGGGATCTGGGGCTTTATTTCCTTTTTCTTGAACTTGATGTAGTTATCAAAGTTGTTCAAGGTTCTACAGCTATGAAGCAACTCTAGAGTGATTGCCTTCTTTGGCGTACACTTACCTCCCAGTGTGTGATTTCACTTTGTTTTGGAGCTTGGTATATTCTTTACTTTTATGCCAATTCAGTAAATGTTAATTTAAAAAAATAGGCATTTGATCTGACTTATTTGGGAGAGTTGTTCAATCTGCCCCAATAGTGGAAATGAAATTCCAAATTCCTTTCTTCTTATACTGAGAATAGCACTCACATAATTATGTAACACGGCTATGTTAGAATAATGAAAGGACTGCATTAAATAATTTTTATGTGTTAGGCACTATTTAAAAGCACTTTGCACACATTATGTGAAATCATTTAATAATCCTAACAACCTTGTGAAAATAACATTCAAAGAGGTTGCCCACGGTACTTCAATCCCTGTCATTCTTACTAGAGAACTGGAGGCTACGTAACACAGAAGGTCTCACCTGACGATTTAGGTAATACAAATATAGTTCCATCATCACCAACACAGCTGACTGTTGCCTCGAATACTTTCATGTTAGGAATAGCTGGTGGTTTATAGCATCTAGTGGTTCTTGGTTCTAGAATTTTCTCCTGAAGTTCAGACACTTTGTGTTCACTGATTATGTCAGCAGCTTTTTTGTCAGGGTCAAAGTTAGTTTTAATACAGTTAATAACTACTGAATCTTCTTGTTCCAGGGGGACTTTCAGAGACTTCTCAGATAACGAATGGCTGTTATCTAATTTGTTAATTCTGTAACATCCAAAAAAGAACATATCTAAACATGAGCAAATATAAAATTCTGGGTAAAACATATAAAAAGAATTCTTCAGATACACATGAAATTCAAAGAAAATATTTCCTCTAATTTGTTATATAAAAATTAGCATAACAAGTTAAAATTACTTTGAGACTGACGAGAAAAAGCAATAAAATTTTAAGTAAATGTTTTAAATTTCTATCTCGTATTTATAGACTATGCTCTCTTAAAATTTCCTTAACGTGGTACAATGAATTCAATATTACTAGAAGATATAACACCTTTAAGACGATTTCAATTTAGTCCACAGACAGAACAGACATCTGGCAAGCTATTAGCATCCATTAATATAAAGAAAACATGAGTCTCTTAAAAAATATTAAGGTACTATTCATATATTAGGTGTTAGTAGTAATATGCTATATTTACTCAGTTTTTCTACTTTATATTATTCCCTTCCACTTAAAAGTAATAGGTATCCCTACTGTACAAAAAATAAAATCTTAGAAGGAAATATTAATGTTGGTTGTGTTTTAGCATAATTATATCAAATTTCTGTTTGTTCTAATCTCCTGTACTTTTAAAAGGAAATAAGGCCTGGGCGTGGTGGGTCACACCTGTAATCCCAGGGCTTTGGGAGGCTGAGGCAGGCAGATGACCAGAGGTCAGAAGTTTGAGACCAGCCTGGCCAACATGGTGAAACCCTGTCTCTACTAAAAACACAAGAATTAGTCAGGCATGGTGCTATATGCCTGGAATCTCAGCTACTTGGGAGGCTGAGGCATGAGAACTGCTTGAACCCTGGGGTCAAAGGGTGCAGTGAACTGAGATCACAGCACTGCACTGAAGCCTGGGTGACAGAGCAAGACTCAGTCTCAAAAATAAACAAACAAACCAACAAACATTAACTAAACAGCTACATAATTCCTCAAATAACCTGCTAGTCCCCCAACCCACTGCTGCCTTAAGATAGCTGGCAGTTTTAGTCTGTAAAAGCAGTAAAGAACATTACAACTGGCAGCAGACAATGTCAGTAGTATTAACTTGCCTACCATTTCCCATTCTAACATGTCTTCTATCAAGGAACTGCTTTAGCCTAAAGGCAAATTAGGCTAGCTGTATGCCAAAGCCCGGGCAACCCAGGCCAGATCTCCCGTATCTAGCCTCATGTCCCACTTTCTTTCTGAGTTCTCATTCATTTTCCATTTCATCAGGACTCCAATCCTGTTCTGAATAAGGTAAAATATAAGTTAAGGCAAACACATCTATGGAGATCTGGCTACGTATGAGGCCATGTATTTGGTACAAAGTGGCTACTAAGGAACTTGTTTCTCCAATTCCAACATAGCTCTATGTCTCTAGAAAGAGAGAGAAAAGATTACACTAGGGCCACAACCATATTCTGATTCTGTCCCTGGATCAAAGGTGCTTAAACCCCAAACACAGAACCTGAAAGGATTTTTAAATGTAAATACTGTTGAATTACTTATTGTGTAAGTATAAATTTCATATAAATGTTTTTGTTTCATATAAATGTTTCATATATTTCACCCTGTTTCATATACATTTACAGTTCATATAAATACATCTAGTAGGTATACATCTACCAGAATTTCTAAAATAAAGCTTAAATATTTATGTCTAAAGCAAAGGATGCCAAAGATCTGGTACCCACTACATTATTCTCTTTTTCTTTGGTTTACAGTGTAAATGTCAAAGGAGAGGGCAAATTATAAAAGCAAGTATGTCAGGTAAAGGGCTTAAGTGTGTAAGAACAGATGTGCCTGAACAATGAAATGAGCAATTCTGAAGGAATCTATTTCTGAGATGGCTCCTCAGGGTTAGTTTATAAATCTTTGTTTTTTGTTGTTTTTTTTTTTTCCTAAACATTGGGGAAAGCGCAAACGCAGTCCCCCACTATCACAACTTATGCAGTCGAGTTTCCCACATTTGGGGAAATTGCAGGGGTCAGCACATCCGGGGTGCAATGGGTAAGACTTGCCCTGGGAAAACCACCTTCGTGATCATGGTTTCTCCCCTGCCAGGTAAGCATAGTTTACTAATCTTGAAGAGCACACAAGATGCAATTCAGATTTGAAAGCACACATAAGAAGATTTGCACATGTAACTAAGAGGCATCCATCACAAACTGATGTCAAAAATTTTTTTTAAAGTCTATACCTCCTTTCTCTCAAAGCCAAACCCTTTTTAATCAAATATTTAGAAACATCAACACGCTCTCCTTTTTCATCTCTGCAGAAAATTTTCACAGGTAATGGCCAAGTTGTGTTGTTCTCCTGCAGTGATTTAAGAGCAGAGTAAACATGAAATACCAAAATGAAATCTTCATATAAACAATGTACATTTCATAGGCATTTATTTTACATTTCTCTAAGCAAGAAATAGTCCCAAGTGAGTAAAGTTATTTTGGTATCTAAACATATCAGAAAATAAATAGCATGGAAGACAGTGAAAGAGTTATTTTATGAAATGCATCAGAAAAGACTTCAAGGTCAAGGTGAAATTAAAGAAAAAAAAATCAAACTGGAAACTTTTTTTTCCAGTCCCAGAATGGGGAGTAGGGAATACAACATCAGTTAACAAGTTTCTTTATTTTCCCGCATTCTTTGTAAATTACAGAATTAAAATGGCAGGAGAATTACTTGAACCCTGGAGGCAGAGGTTGCAGTGGGCCGAGGTTGCGCCACTGCACTCCAGCCTGGCACCTGGTGACCGAGTGAGACTCTGTCTCAAAAAATAAAAATAATAAATAATAAATAATAAATAAATAAAAATATATTTTCAAAGGTCTTTTTCTCTCCTACAAAAAGCAAAAGAACTACAAAACATATTCTGCTTCATATGGAAGAAGTTATAAAACTGGAGAAAGCACATTAAAAGTAACAATAAAATGAATTATAAGAGAAAATGCTATTCATTAATCAAAGTATTTAACTTAGAAAAAAAGCAAAGAATATTTTTAAAGTGGTCTGAAAAGATGTATATCTCTTCTCAAATACACACGTGTGACATACATTTATGATTTCACTGGAAGCCTAACTTTCCAGGTTGGCAAATATCAAATGGCTTTGGAAATACAACCTAGCATACACATTATATTTTTAACATGCAGATAATCAACTCATGAATACTACTTTAGAAATACTTTGACTCATTCAATCATTTGTGGTGTACCTATCATCAAACAGGAATCACACTTTGAAATAAAACTAACAAAATTTGTAACAAAATCCAAAGTTTGGTGTTATTTTCTCAAAAAGAAAGAAAATAAATGGAATTGATGAAAACATTAATGAGATCATCAGGACATCTCTCTCGTAAATTGTTAACTCTCTACCCACCTGTAAGATTATAGTTGCTACAGCTCCAGTCAGGTACAATGAAAGACAGTCACAAGCTGTTGCTGTCCACTTGTCACTCCCACCGGCTGGTCTACAACAGAAAACAATGGCAACTTGTTTTATTAAAAAAAGCATACAATATTGACATATACAAGAAACACTGCATTTACGCACATACGCACTCATAGTTTGAACCGACTATATGTAAGAAATCAATTTAAACATGGATTCATATTATTTTTACAATTTTTCTCATTTTCATAGCCTTTTTTCATCCTTCTATTTTACTCAGGGCCCATGTTACATATTAACTGATTTGTATGTATCTGTTCTACAGCCACACTGAGGACCTGTAAAAAGTAGGTATTAGTCACTATACACATTTCATATATGTCAACTAGACTGTAAACTCCCAGAGAACAGGAATGATGATGTATTATGTCCATCATCACATTCCCTAATGACCAGTATGGTGTCTGACACATAGAAGGCATTCCAGAAATATTTAATGGAAATAAGAAAAGTCTCTTTGATGATTCCACTGCCCATTTTTTGGAAGTTCTTTGGAATTCAAATCTAACTTGAATTGCTACCCATAAATATCAGAAATACCAGAAATTTTAATTATTGATTCAACAAAATTATTTACATTACCTGATAGATGTGGTAATAAAGTTTCAAATGACTAAAAATTAGCAGTATCTTTGACTAACTTTTCAGCAAATACTGTCAAGACAGTAATGCATAATTTAAAAATGCTCAATAAATACTTGACAGATAAATGAAATACAGAGTATCCAATTTCATCATCCACGTTAGTTTGCTAAGTTGAAACTAAGTGACTGCAGGGGATGTCTAGTCTTTTGGCTTCTCTGGGCCACACTGGAAAAATAGTTTTGAGCCACACATAAAATACACAAATAAAGCTGATGAGGTAAAAAAAAAAAAAAATCTCATGTTTTAAGAAACTTTACAAATTTGTGTTGGGCTGCCCTGAAAGCCATCCTGGGCTGCATGTGGCCCATGGGTGGGACAAGCTTGCCTTAGATGTTTCTACCAGCAAATCTATCCCCCTAAGAATAAAGAATTCGTAACACAGAAGAGATTACAGATAACATAATGCAGGCTCTATGGGCCCTCTAAATATGGTTTCTAGTTCTAGAGTTTCACTGAGCTCACCCATTAACTGAGTAAACAATTATTTCTGGTCAATCTTAAAAAAAAAAAAAAAAAAAAAAAAGAGAGGCAGGGCCTCACTATGTCACCCAGGCTGGCCTTGATGGGTTCAACAGATCCTTCCATCTTGGTCTTCTGAGTAGCTGGGGCTACAGGTGTATGCCACCACTCAGCTTCACCTGGTCAATCTTTTCACAGTTACATGGCTTATATGACTGAGTTAACCAAATCAACTGGGCATGTAACTTGACCCAACAGGATTTGGTATATGTGCTATATACTAATTATTATAAAGCCTAGAGAAAGTTCTTAGGTGCTAAGAAGCTTAAATTGCTAGGAACTCTTGGAATCAGTTATGGTTTAATATTTATTATGATGGTATAAAAATAAAAAATGTAACATTAAGGTTAGTCATTGATTATGGATATAAATATTATCTTAACATTTTTAAAAAATGTATGAGTATACAATTTCAGTTAGGGAAGATGAAAAAGTTCTGAGGATGAAATGGTTGTAATTGCCACACAACGATGTGATTTTTTTTTTTTTGAGATGGAGTCTCGCTGTCACCCAGGCTAGAGTGCAGTGGTATCATCTCGGCTCACTGCAACCTCCGTCTCCCAGGTTCAAGCGATTCTCCTGCCTCAGCCTCCCAGGTAGCTGGGACTGCAGGTGCGTGCCACCACACCCAGCTAGTTTTTTGTACTTTTAGTAGAGACAGGTTTTTGCCGTGTTAGCCAGGATGGTCTCGATCTCCTGACCTCATGATTTGCCCGCCACGGCCTCCCAAAGTGGTGGGATTACAGGCATGAGCCACCGCGCCTGGCTGATTTTTTGTTGTTGTTGTTTTTGTTATTTGCTTTTGAGATAGAGTCTCACTCTGTCACCCAGGCTAGAGTACAGTGGTGCAATCTCTGCTCAGTGTAACCTCTGCCTCATGGTTTCAAGCATTTCTGCCTGCCTGCCTCAGCCTCACAAGTAGCTGGAATGACAGGTGCCCACCACCATGCCAGGCTAATTTTTCTATTTTTAGTAGAGACAGGGTTTCACCATGTTGGCCAGGCTAGTCTTTAACTCCTGACCTCAAGTAATCTGCCCACCTCAGCCTCCCAAAGTGCTGGCATTACAGGCATGAGCCCTATGCCCAGCCATGAATGTTGTTCTTGTCATAGAACTGTATACTTAAGAATGGTAAAAGGGTAAACTGAGTGTAATATGTATTTTACCACCATAAGAACAATCTATTAAAAGGGATTTCTTAAAATGGCAGTAAAACAGAATGGTTAGAGCTCCAGTTCTGGGTTCAGACCTTGTTTATAATCCTACCTTAACAATCAGCAGATATTTTATCCTGGATAATACTTAACCTCTTATTCAATTTTCTTACCTGTAAATAATATCTTATAAATATCTCTAAGGTAAAATAGTGTCTTTAAGACAATTAATGCAGGTTCCTTAAGTACTTAAAGGTTAGGCTTTTAAAATGATAATGGTATTCCATTCCAGCCCATAAGGTATCACTTAAAGTATGTACAGAAACACATTCTCTATACTGTTAGGTACAATTAAGGAACAGAAATAATTCTGTTCAATCACTCTGATTGAACTATTTAATGTGAAAGTGAAAACTAAGATAGGATTTATATAGTATGTGAGCTGAGATTTCCATTTCAGGACACTGAAAGGATTTACAGTTGTCCTACTGTTGCCATCAGTGATCACAGACAACAGGGACAGGTGCCTGTAAGATTAGAGAAATGGGTCACTAAGAAGAAGGTATCCTATTAGAATAAGGATCTCTAAGGAACAAAACAAATAAAAAATAAAAAAAGAAGGTATCCTATTATATTACCAATTTAGGCCAGACATGGTGACTCACACCTTAATCCTAGTACTTTGGGAGGACGAGGCAGGCAGGTCACTTAAAAGTCAGAAGTTCGACACCAGCCTGGTCAACGTGTTGAAATCCCGTCTCTACTAAATATACAAAAATTAGCCAGGCATGGTGCCATGCCTGGTAATTCCAGCTACTCAGGAGACTGAGGTGGGAGAATTGCTAGAAACTGGGAGGTGGAGGTTGTGGTGAGCTGAGATGGTGCCACTGTACTCCAGCGTGGGTTACAGAGGGAGAGTCTGTCTCAAAATAAATAATAATAAAATTAAAAGATCAGGTTTCAAAACAGATAAATCAAACCAATGTTATATTTATATACGTAACTTTTGGGTGAGGTACTTAATTTCTCATCATGAAGTTTCTTCAATTATAAGATGGGGATAATAGTTCCATGTCAGTATTATTGTGAGAACTAAACTAACACATGAAAAGCACATCATACAATGCCTGCCCTGGTAGTGAATAAATGTTAAGGTATATTGTATAGTGTATCTGGAGTTCTCTCATGAGATCCTTGCAGATGAGATATAAATAAGCTAGGTAAACCAGTATGGTTTATCTATTTCTTAAATAAAAAAAAAAAAATCACACACAGGTTCATTACAGCTTTTGTAATAATGC